TCGGGAAGTATGATAATGATCACGCATGAACAAAGATCTTTTTCACTCTCAGGTGCTTTCAATAAAATCTCCTGCAAGACCAGACCCCACGTTACTAAATTTCAAAAAACACAATGAAAACTGTATGTTACTACCAACAGTAACAAAACCTACAGAGTTACAGGACAGTGTTTCCCCTACTTGACCCATCTGGACCAACCCCCATATCCCCTTTAAAATCAGGCATAATTACAGAAAACCAAACCCCACACCCTATTTTCCTCATAAAACTTTTGGTAAACCCCCCCAAACACTACAAAAACACCTTCGATTTTCAAAATGGGGCAGCCTTTTAATAACTTTCCAACAGCATTACAAACATTGAGGGCACAGAGCTAAAATCTACACAATATTGAAATGTTTAATAATTTTCTAAAAAAGCCCCCAAACCCTCTATAACAACACTCCCCTAAAAAAACTAAAAAAATAACAAAGAGCCCTGAACTCCCGGGCTAACACCCAGCATTTTCAAATCCAAAATAAAAAACCCCAATATAAAAAACAGTACAAAAGGGGTCACATAACCAGAGACCAAAAAAAAAGTTCTCGTCAACCCTAACCAGCCTGAAAAGAAGGGCAAAAAAATTGTATAGAAAACAGATTATCCAACTTACAAAGGTGATATAAAAAAGACCGGAAAACACAATCTGAAATTCTGGGAACAAAAAGATATCACGAAAAAGCGAAATAAAATTAGCAAAATCAGATGAACCCCAACTCCCCCCAAAGAAAACAGCAAAACAACCAAGATTTTTTTCCCCAAAATTAGGGGAAAAAACCTTCCCATAAAACCAACTCAATACCACCAAATAATACCCCGGCAAAAGAAAACTGTTCCTATCCGGGCTAAAACCCATACGAAGCACCCTTATTTAATGCATAAAAAAACCAAATTTAAAAAACCTTACATTTATATAAAAAAATTACAAGTGCTAACTCCAATCATTGAACACTCTTTAACCAAAAAGAACCTCCACCTTCCCACATACTAAAAAAAAAAGGGTAAACCCATCACAAAGGGAAAAAACAATTGAAAAAACTATACAAATATCCAATTACACCCTTCCCCTAAAAATCTTTAAAAACCTATTTCAAAAAATTATCCACCTATCCCCAAAACTACTCAAAAAACCCCTGCCAAGGATTCCCTAATAAAAATACTAAAAAGCTATTTTTAAAAACCCGCTAAACATTTTATACATCAAATGAAAAAAAGAAGTCCCCTGGGTCTTCATACTACGAAAACTTTTGATCCCCGTTGCCCTGACTTTCCCACGAAAAATTTCACATTTGGTAAAGAGGGGGAAAATTTTTTAATTTTTAAATAAAAATAGCCAACAGAAAGCCAATTGGACGCAAAATTGGGGGCAAACTTTCTTTTGCGCAAAACCCAAATTACAGTTGGGTTTGTCCCACCCCGGGAAGTGTCCTTGGCCCCTTTTCTTTCTCCTTACTAAATGACCTTCCAAAAGCTTGCAATTACTCAAACCACACTATTTTTCAAAACACCATACGCTTCCTCACCCGAGCCCAGTCACACTAGCCCAATATGAAATACCGAATTACAGAAAAAATCTACCTGGAGGACAACAAACTTAACTAAACATTTAAAAACTCTTCATTCAGTTTTGGGAAAAGGCTACAGATGTCCCTCTTTAAAATAAGATAAAAGGGTCACCATCACAAAGCTAACAGAGGGAAAAAATTTTTAGGAACCCCCTTGATAATGACTCAAATTTCATACCAATTTCAACAAATTTTTAAGAAAAAATTTTCCCAAAACTTAGGCATCTATCGAAGTACGTATATGTTCCACAGTCGCCCCCCTGGCCCAATCACTCTCTTATTTACCCCATTCACCTAGGAATTTGTGCATGGGGGTCACAACTTAACCATCTCAGACCCCCTAATTACCCAACAAAAGGGTGCAGTTAGAATGAAACAAAATTTTCACTACAGGCACACACTCCACCAATATTCAATACACAAACCCACCACCATACAAAAATCCATACTTATTACGCACCCATTACATACATAAACACTTAACCTGATATTAACCTCCCCTCAAAAAACTCCTTTCCAACCTAAAAGAAAACTACCCTAAAACAAGGCACGATCATCTTTTATGTTCCTCGTGTTCATCCTTTCCCCTAAGCAAAAAAATCAATGCAATAAAAGGGCCCTAAAAACGGAATTTTATTACCGAAATATAAAAAAACCTACCCTTTTTTAAAAAAAATCTCTACCCAAAAATCACTTATCACCCAAAACCAAATAAAAAAGAAAAATGAATTATAATTGTTTATCTTTTAAAGTTTCTACAATTTTATCACATAAATTTAAAAATAAAACCCCAAACAACTTTATTTTTTTTAAATAATACCTAACAGAATCCCCCATATGACCCGTCTTTGTATACCACTTGTGCTTTTAAATCTTTTTCATTAATGTTTTATCACTGACTTCTTCATTGCTTTTTAATCTTAAATTATTTTAAGCCAGCCCTAATGCTATGCATATATAAGTGGCTTTGGATACGCTCTTTCGTATTTTTTTGTACCTCTGTATGTGTGCACAAATTTATAATAAATAAATAAATAAATAAATAAATTGGGGAGATCATTGATGTAGATGAGAAAGAGGAGTGGGCCTAGGACACTACCTTGGGGTACTCCTACAGCTACAGGATGGATAGCAGAGTTGACCCCTTTTGCATGTACATACTGGTGTCTGTCGTTTAAGATAGGATTTTAGGTAGTCAAGAGAATGTCCTCTTATGCCATAATGATTCAACTGTGTCAAACGCTTTTCTTAGGTCGACAAAGAGCCCCAGGGGATATTCATTCTTATCGAGAGCTGAAATATTAGGTCAGGCATCTGTATAATAGCATCATCTGTGCTTTTTTTTGGTCTAAATCCAAACTGGCATGGGTTAAGTATGTTGTTGGATGTAAGGTAGGAGTAAAGTTGCTTGTGTATTATTTTTTTCAAATATCTTGGGTAGTAAGGGCAAGTTTGATATGGGTCTGTAATTGTTCAAATCAGTTGGATCTCCACCTTTGTGGATCGGGGTGACCCTTGCTGTCTTGAGTATGGATGGGAAGGTTGAGGATGCTATAGATTTGTTAATCATTGTTGCAATAATGGGCAACAGTTCTGGTGCAGCTTTTTTATATATGAATGGTGGCAAGTTATCTAGATCACCTGATTTGTTTTTTAATGATTTAATGATGAGTGAGACTTCAGTGGGATTAGTTGGAGCTAGGAATAGAGTGTTTGGATAGGTGCCAGTGAGGCACTTGCTCAGATGGGTATTTGAGCTAGGAATTTGGCTCGCTAGCTTTGATTCTACGGTAGAGAAGAAGACATTAAATTTGTCAGCAGTGTCTATAGGTTGCATGTGAGGTTCATCTGGTTTGGTTAAAACTATCTCTCTTTTTCCAGTCGTTTTCTTGAGCCTAAAATTTTGGAGAGGGTTTGTCAGGTACTTTTCATGTCACCTTTCATTTCACTAAATCTATTTTCATAACACATTTGCTTTGATTTACTTATGTGTACCTTGTGTAACTTATGTGTACCTTGTGTAACTTATGTGTACCTTGTGTAACTTATGTGTACCTTGTGTAACTTATGTGTACCTTGTGAAACATGTGTACCTTGTGTAACTTATGTGCACCTTGTGTAACTTATGTGTACCTTGTGTAACTTATGTATTCCTTGTGTAACTTATGTGTACCTTGTGTAACTTATGTGTACCTTGTGTAACTTATGTACACCTTGCGTAACTTATGTGTACCTTGTGTAACTTATGTATACCTTGTGTAACTTATGTGTACCTTGTGTAACTTATGTGTACCTTGAGTAACTTATGTGTACCTTGTGTAACTTATGTGTACCTTGTGTAACTTATGTGTACCTTGTGTAACTTATTTGTACCTTGTGTAACTTATGTACACCTTGTGTAACTTATGTACACCTTGTGTAACTTATGTGTACCTTGTGTAACTTATGTGTACCTTGTGTAACTTATTTGTACCTTGTGTAACTTATGTGTACCTTGTGTAACTTATGTGCACCTTGTGTAACTTATGTGTACCTTGTGTAACTTATGTGTACCTTGTGTAACTTATGTGTACCTTGTGTAACTTATGTGTACTTTGTGTAACTTATTTGTACCTTGTGTAACTTATGTGTACCTTGTGTAACTTATGTGTACCTTGTGTAACTTATTTGTACCTTGTGTAACTTATGTATACCTTGTGTAACTTATGTATACCTTGTGTAACTTACGTACACCTTGCGTAACTTATGTGTACCTTGTGTAACTTATGTATACCTTGTGTAACTTACGTACACCTTGCGTAACTTATGTGTACCTTGTGTAACTTATGTATACATTGTGTAACTTACGTACACCTTGCGTAACTTATGTGTACATGTACCTAAATAAACTGACTTACAATTACTCACACTTACACTCACTCACCCATTTGACCATAAACAGATATATTAATCTCAATCTTAAAATAATGAATCCTAACTAGTCATAAGTTGGCTTGTGATACTCCAATACTATGTATTATATTGTGCCAAAACAAAAGCATTCACATTGCTAAACTCACAAACTAGTATTTAGTCACTTAGCCATAATACCAACTTACCTCATAATTTGTAATATTTTAAAGTTAAGAATTAATCTAAGTCTGCCCGAAATGCCTAGCCATGCTAGGTGTTCTAGTGGTACACTCTGTAATTAGTATTTTACTACATGTAAACCACACAATAACCAAATTCTGTAAACTCAACATTGTAATCCTTATAGAGAATAAACTTTGAATTGAATTGAATTTGAATTAAGAATAATTCATAAGTCTCTCCTCCTGCCACCGAGGTGTTCATATCAGTGCTGAAACTGCCTGTAACAGTATTACTAAACAAACTTGTTACAAGAGCCACACCTATTCCCATGGACTAGCTGTACTATGATAGTTTTCTTCCTCTTCTTGTCTTCAAAAACACATGCAATATATGTAAAACTACTTCTGTTGTTGTTGTTAAGGGTTTCAACGTGAGAAGTTGTTTTAAGCCTTATTTTCCAGTGTTGGGGTATAAATATTGCACAAATATGGGCGGTAAATGAAATAAATATTCTTTAAAAGAAAATTCAATAAATACTAATTAAGAGGGAAAAGTGAACCTTGCCACTGAAAGTCTTTGGAAAGCAAGACACGCAGACACCCTATAAGAGTCAGTGACGGGATTCCAGTAGCAGCTGCAGGAAAATTTACAAGCACATCTTGCTAAAATAATAATAATGATGATCATTATTTCTACAAGTACATGATACAGCGTACACAGACCTAGCTCACATCAGTGACATACTATGTATGTAGAAAACCCCTGGCTATGCAAGGCATTTCGGTCAACCTAGGTTAATTTTCTTCCCTGGGATCCGACCCACACCAGTCTGCTAACACCCAGGTACCTATTAACTGCTAGGTGAACATGCTCAATGTTGCCACCTGTACCAGGGATTGAACCATAGATCTCAGTGTGAGAGCTGAGTGATAAGATTTTGTTTAGATTTTTAACCCCAGAGGGTTATCCACCCAGGATAACCCAAGAAAGGCAGTGCGTCATCGAAGATCTGTTTGTTTCATTTCCACTGGGGTCCTTAATCTTGTCCCCCAAGATGCAACCCAAAGTAGTCGACTAACACCCAGGTACCTACTTGCTAGGTGAACGGGACAACAGGTATAAGGAAACACGCCCAGTGTTTCTACCCTTGCCAAGGATCGAACCACTGATTCAGCGTGTGAAAAGAGATCGCTGCCTACCAGACCACTACCAACTAAGCTATTCTTGTGATCTAAATAAAGTCCGCATAAATAGCTTATTAAAATTATAACCAGATATAAACATGTAAATAGTTCATTACCACAATAACTTATTTAGCTCTCAAAATTTTGTGACCCAGTCCCTGGATCCATGATTCATGAAATCGTAATTACACGATTGGATCCATTCTTTTGACTATCCCCTGTAGCAGCTCTGTATAGTCCTTGTGGCTTAGCGCTTCTTTTTGATTATAATAATAATAATTTTGACTATCCCCCCCACACCATGGCTACGTAGGAGCACTAATCAACCCCTCCTGTGTGTATCCTGAAGAAGCTCTCCCCATCTCGAAGCAAACTGCAGGTATCCTGAAGCAGCAACTTAAAAAAAAAATCAAGTGTTTGAAATAAAAACAATAGATTATTTCACTGGGAAATAAGTCTGACTGTTTCTTTTGGTAATTTACACTATCTACGATAATTGTACATATGTGTATCTGTGTCTAAATAAACTTACTAACACAATCCAGGACGGTGCAGATCCCCCAAATTCAAAATACTTAAAAATTTATAGGTAGACAAGCAGGGACTGGTTATGAGGGACTCGGGTATCTCAATGGAAATAAGTCACATGTTTGACTTTATTGGGTAATCCTAGGTTAAATCTAAATAATATATTTTTTTATATGCCCATAACATCTATGTTCCCTAAAATTCGATGCAAAAAATAAAAGAATAATTGTATGGTATATATACAAGCCTAAATAACAACTTGCTTAACGCTCAAATTATTTCCAACGTCACTTGGTGATGCAAGGGATCACTGGGCACTATCTTTTGACTATCGCCCACAGGATGGGTAAAAGGTCCACAGAGTGGGTAAAAGGTCCACAGGATGAGTAAAAGGTTCACAGGATGGGTAAAAGGTCCACAGGATGGGTAAAAGGTCCACAGGATGGGTAAAAGGTCTACAGGATGGGTAAAAGGTCCACAGGGTGGGTAAAAGGTCCACAGGATGGGTAAAAGGTCCACAGGATGGGTAAATGGTCCACAGGATGGGTAAATGGTCCATAAAAGTCTCAAACTAAGAATTACGAAGCTTAGACAAAATTATTAGGATTTTTTTTTTTGTGGACTAAACTAGTACTGCACATTCCATCGAGTGAAGTATGGAAAGAGAGGAGACAAAGATAAGAAACTCCAATTGCAGTAACAGAAACTTTTATTTACACGTTTCAACAAGACTTGCACAGGCGAAACGTTGCCTACACTAAATGCATTTCGGTCGCTGAGCGATCTAAGAAAAGGTACTACATACATACTGAATAACCCAGCTCCCTGACCCTCAATGTACACGATAGAAACAGCGCAGAATGTGGCATAAGCTTTTAATGCAGTTAAAAATTAGCATGGATGATATATTATATATATATATATATATATATATATATATATATATATATCAGTATTTATACCAGTATAAATTGGGTAGCACCCTCAAACACGGCGCTATTAATTAATTGTGGACTGTATAGATTATATTAGTTTAACTGAATGAAGGGGAGGGGGGGTAGGATACACATGGATACATCCATCAAGGAAAAACATTTGTACATAATCCCACCACTTACCAGATATTCCCTGGTGGTCACTTGATGTGGCTGGATCACCCTTAACCTATCCAATTAAAACATACCTAACTGGCCAGTATCAGTCTGTTATAACTAGAAGGGTTACTTAACTGGGGGTGATTGATGCTCCTTATTTCCTCCATTCACCATCTCATTTCGACGTCCCGCCACACCGACACGGTTCTTATTCCAGCAGGACAAGGTATCCGTTGGTTTGTCCCGGTTTAGAAGTCGTGATACCATAAAACTTCACTATCCTCGATATGATAATCACGAGTTCACTCGGAGCAGGGCGATCTATTTCACATCCCGCATTCTCTTAACTTAATGTTATTATCACTGATTACATTACCATTCACAAGACGATTTAACGTCTCATAATCATTATACACATTAGAGGTCACTCCATTAAGATCTGAGGCCGATGAGTAAGGATTAACTCACGGGTATTTCCCCTGGACACACACCATGGCCGTGCACCAGTCACACCCGGTCGAACCATTATTCACTAATTTTACCACCTTTTTACGGTGGTCCCGTAAATCACGTTCCCTCACTCTTCACTAGGGACAGTCACGACACTTCCTATTATGAATTGAGGCCTATATTAATCCTTAGGCCGCCGTGAATGCCAATTTTCTGGTTCCATGCTTTCCCAGCCTCCTCACCACATTCAAAACACTGCTGCCTCCCCCATGGCCCGAGTCGACCTATACCCCCGCACATCCGCGCATGCGCAAAGGGAACTCTTGGTTCTATCCTATTGTCAAATACATTTTTGACTCATATCGACACATTAAACACCTATTAGGCGCTATAGCTTCGGAAAATCAAAAATTTTCCACAATAGCATCCCAATTTCTTCAATAAAAATGGCAAGTTAAAACATCCACAGTAAAAAACTAATTTAAACCTTCCTCGAAGATTAGATTTAGATTTTGCCACCGAAGTGACTAGTTTATTGTGCACCCCATATCCATCCTGTGGACGGTAGCGCGAGAGCATATGGATACACAAAAGGCCTAGGAACTAGGCCCCAAAGGGTTAACAGGAATACATATGGATTTATATCTACTTATCATTAGTTCACTTATCTGTTACAAGCAAATTTAGGAAATTTGCTTAGTATATCTGGTATCTTATTTTCATTAATAAGATATCTTGACATGTCACATAGGTTATTATACTGTCTGTCTCTGTATTCCTCAATAAGTGGACAATTAAGCACATAGTGTTCAAGAGAGTGACCATATGCCTGATCACATAATTTACATTTAGTTTGATCATCATCTGTGTGTCTCCCAAACTGTCAGAAGTACTTGTAACCAAGCCTAAGCCTGGCCACTACAACATCAGTCAGTCTGTTCACATTGCAAGTTGCTCCATAAACATACTTATCTACGTTCATGTTATCATAGTGGTTATAGATCTACTCAGGCTTCTAACTGCATTCCTATAACAATCATTTTCATTATTTACTTCTCTCCTAATATTATTCCTAATGCTAGACACAGTTATACCAAAGTTATATTCTACATTCTCCTTCTCGATACTCTTCTTGGCTAACATATCAACTTTATCATGAAGGAGTAATCCAATGTGTGATGGGATCCATAGCAATTGTACATTAATTCCTTTGTCCCTAATTTTTGAGTATCTATACCTGGCTTCCCGAATGAGCATGTTGTTGGAGTCATTATATGAGCCAAGAGCCTTCAATGATGACATAGAATCAGTAATGATGATAGAGTCAAGCTCAGTGTCATAGGTTAGCTTTAGCGCCATTAGGATTGCAAACAATTCAGTTCGCAGTGTAGACGCCCAGTTGTTAATTCTTATGCCTAACTCAACAAATTTATTATCGTTCTTAACTAGGGAGGTGGCAACAAGAGCAGATGCAGCCCTGCCAGAAGACTCCTGTTTAGATCCATCAGTGTATATAACTTGTGATAACTTGTTACTACCAGCTAGGTGAGAAATTTCTTCTTGAGCAGTTACTCTAACAAGAGATTTAAGGAAGGGATTACTAGCAATGAGCTTCTTGGGAGGGACTTGTAGGTCTTCCTCGAAGACACACCAGATTTGAATACAAACTTAAGAAGCACTCTCTTGCTATCTCAGACCCATATACTAAAATATACACCAGCACATATGCATCTACTCATTTTGATTTCACTCTCTGCCTTCCTCAAAGTAGGAAGCACCTTATTTTCAACGTTCGAAGCCAAACAGCAGAGGCTTTTGAAAGTTAATGGACCTTAGAGATCTTGGACTGGAAAGTCAGGGTGGGATCAGCTTCCCAACATCCGCCGTGTGGGTTCTAGACAACTGCTGATTTTTCTCACCGATGGTAACACAATAGGTAAGTGTGTTTCGAGACTGCGAATTTTGTTTACGACTTTCGTTATAGGGCACCTGCACAACGCAATAATTACATGAGATTTGCCCTAATTATCATACACCAGCGTTGAAAATTTGAAGCTAGTCGATTGAGACCTTCTGTAATGAACGATGATAATAAAAAATTGGACGGAAAATAAAAGAAGGTATCAGGCAATTACTTCAAGGCTTTCACTCAGGAATACATAATACTAATTATAATAATAATGCCTCCTAGCATACATAAAGGGGATTACCAATAGACCCTTGGCTGTCTTCGAGAAGGTTTTGGACAGGCACCTAAAGTCAGTACCTAATCAGCCGGGTTTACGTGCGACCAACAGTAAAGGCCTGGTTGATCAGACCTTGATCCACCATGAGGTCTGGTCACAGGCCTGGTTGTTCAGACCTTGATCCACCATGAGGCCTGGTCACAGGCCGGGCCGCGGGGGACGTTGACCCCCGAAACCCTCTCCAGGTGTGACAGTTTACTGTAATCCCTGTTAAAGAGATTAAAGTGTCCTTGACTGGTTATGAAAAG